GTGTGTGTGTGTGTGTGTGTGTGTGTGTGTGTGTGTGTGTGTGTGTGTTTATTGAGTCAGGGTTTCTGTGTAACAGTCCTGACTGTTCTGGAAGTCATTTTGTAGACCAGATTGGCCTCAAAGTGACAGAGACTTATCTGCCTTTGCTTCTGAGTGCTGGGATTAAAGACATGGGCCACAATACCTGGCAGGACCTTGTATTTTATCCAGAGTTGGCATCTTGTATGTTTTTCTTCTGATACTTCGTTTTCTTTTTTCTCTCTCCTTTTTATACTTTAAAAATAACACCAAACAAAATTCCCACTTTCTCACCTCCTACCTCTTCCCTCCTGCTCACCAAAATAGTCTTTTCCCACACGCCCTCCAGTCCTAAGAGAAGGCAAGGCACTCTGCCATGTGGGAGTCCAATGCCCTCCCCCCTACATCCAGTCTTAGGAAGATATGCATCCAAAGAGAAGAGGATCTCAAAAAGCCAGTACATGCAGTAGAGACAATTCCCAATGCCATTGTCATTGATCCCTCAGTCTGCCCAAATTGTAAGCCACATCCAGAGGGCCCAAATTGATCCCATTTCCATTCATTCCCAGTCCAGCTGGCTTTTGTGATCTCCCTTTCACTCAGGCACACTATCTCAGTAGGTGAAACCCTAGTGGTCCTGACCTCCTTGTGCATATTCTCCCTCCTTCTACTCTACAACTGAACCTTGGAAGTTCAGTCCAGTGTGCCAGTATGGGTCTCTATCTCTGTCTCCATCTGCCACAGTACAAAGGTTCTATGGTGATATTCAAGCTACTCATCAGCCTGACTACTGGACAATGGCAGTTCAGGCACCCTCTCTTCCACTGCCCAGAATCCTAGTTGAGGTCATCTCCATGGATTCTTGGGAATCCCTCCAGAGTCAAGCCTCTTGACAAGCCCAAAATGGCTCTCTCAATTATGATATCTTCTTCTCTGCTTCCATATTATTCCTTCCTCTATCTCAACTATCCCACTTCCCCATGCTTTCTCCAAACCTTCCCTTCTCCCTTACCCTCCACTTCTCCCCTCTCCCTCCCATTGTCTGCTTCCCTCTACTCCCCACCCCCATGTTCCTAACGTTTGTCAGGTAAACTTGTCTGCTTCCAATTTCCAGATGCATCTATATATTTTTTCTTTGGGTTCACCTTATTACTTAGCTTCTCTAGGATCATGAACTATAGTCTCAATGTCCTTTGTTTTTGGCTAGAATCCACTAATGAGTGATTACATACCATATTCATACTTTTGGGACTGGTTTATCTCACTCAGTATAGTGTTTCCTACTTCCATCCATTTGCAGGCAAAATTCAAGATGTCATTGTTTTTTACCACTGAGTAGTACTCTAATTTGTAGATGTGCCACACATTCTTTATCCATTCTTCTGTTGAGGGGCATTTAGTTTATTTCCATGATCTGGCTATTACAAATAATGCATCTATGAACTTAGTTGAACAAATGCTCTTGTAATATGATTGGGCATACTTTTGATAAATTCCAAAGAGTGGTTTTGCTTGATCCTCAGGTAGGTTGACTCCCAATTTTCTGATAAATTTCCACCCTGATTTCTAAAGTAGTTGCATAGGTTTGCATTCCCACCAGCAATGGATGAGTGTTTCCCTTATTCATGTCCTCTCCAGTATAGGTTATCTTTGGTGTTTTTGATTTTAGCTATTCTGACAGGTGTAAGATGGTATCTCAAAGTTGTTTTGATTTGTATTTCCCTGATAGCTAAGGAAGTTGAACATGTCCTTAGGTATCTTTTGGCCATTTGAAATTCTTCTGTTGAGAATTCTCTGTCTTGTTCCATGCCCCATTTTTTAATTGGGTTATTTAGAATTTTCATGAGATTTTTATATATTTTGGAGGTCAGTCCTTTGTCTGATGAAGGGTTCTTGAAGATCTTCTCCCATTCAGTAGGTTGCCTTTTTGTCTTTTTGACTGTGTCCTTTGCTTTACAAAAGATTCTTAGTTTCAGGAGGTCCCATTTATTCATCTTTGCTCTTATTCTCAGTGCTACTGTGGTTATACATAGGAATATGTCTCATGTGCCCATGCACTGCAGGATACTTTCCCATTTCTCTTCTATGAGGTTCAGTTTGGTCAGATTTATATTGAGATTTTTAATCCATTTAGACTTGAGTTTTGTGCATGGTGATAGATATGGATCTATTTTCATTCTTCTTCTGGTTGACATCCAGTTATGCCAGAACCATGTGTCAAATATGCTTTCTTTCTTCCATTTTATAATTTTAGATTCTTTGTAAAAAATCCGGTATTCATAGGTGTGTGGATTAATATTCATGTCTTCAATTTGATTCCATTGGTCAATTTCTCTGTTTTTATGTCAGTACCAAGCTGTTTTGATTACTGTAGCTCTGTAATAGAATTTAATGTCAAGAATGGTAATGCCTGTGGCAGTTCCTTTATTACATAGGATTGTTTTGGCAATCCTGGGTTTTTGCTATTCAATATAGTTTATTATTAATCTCTCAAGGTCTGTGTAGAATTTTGTTGGAATTTTGATGGAGATTGCATTGAATCTGTAGATTGTTTTTGGTAGGATATTAACAGAGAAATAAGAGAACTAACAGATGTTATGAATCAAATGGACTTAATAGACATATATAGAACATTCCACACAAACAGGAAAGGTATACACTCTTCTCAGCATCTCATGGAACCTTCTCAAAAATTGATCACATACTCGGTAGCAAAACAAACATCCATAGATACAAAAATTGGAATAAACACCTGTGTCTTATCTGGTCACCATAGAGTAAAGTTAGAATTTAACAAAAATACTATGCCCAGAAAGCCTGGAAACTCATGCAAACTGAATAGTCAACTACGGAGCCATCTCAGGGTCAAGGAAGAAATAAAGAATGAAATTAAAGTCTTCCTTGAATTCAATGAGAATGCAGATACAACATGCCTAAACCTATGGAACACTATGAAAGCAGGGATAAAAGGGAAGTTCATAACACTAAGTGTTCACATTGACAGAATGGATAAAGCTCACATTAGCAGTTTAACAGCACCCCTGAAAACTCTACAAAAAAAGAAGCAGACTCACCCAGGAGGAGTAGATGACTGGAAATAATCAAACTGAAGGTCGAAATCAACCCAATTAAAACACTGACAACAATCTAAAGATTCAATGAAACAGCCTGTTATTTGAGAAAATCAACAAGATAGACAAACTCTTATCCAAATTACTCAAAAGACAGAGAGAGACCACCAAAATGATCAAAATTAGAAATGAAAAGGGGGGCACAACAGAAGACACTGAGTAAATTCAGAGAATCATTAGGTCTTACTACAAAAACCAGTACTCCATAATTGGAAAACTTAAAAGATATGGACAATTTTTTAGATAAATACCATATACCAAAATTATATCAAGACCTGGTGAGCAATTTAAATAGACCTATTAGTTGGGAGGAAACAGAAACCATCATCAAAAACCTCCCCGTTAAAAAAAAAAAGCCCAGGGACAGATGGTTTTAGTGCAGAATTCTACCACAACTTCCAGGAAGAGCTAATACCTATACTTCTTAATGTGTACCACATAATAGAAATAGAAGGGTCATTGCCAAAATCTTTTTTATGAAGCTATAGTTACCCTGATACCAAAACCGCACAAAGACTCAACCAAGAAAGAGAATTACAGACCAAACTCAACTCATGAACATCGATGCAAAAATTCTCAATAAAATACTGGCAAATCACATATAAGAACACATCAAAAAAATCATCTATTATGATCATATAGTCTTCATCCCAGACAAACATGGCAGGTTCAACATATGAAAATCTATCAATGTAATCCATTATATGAAGTTCTGGCTATAGCAATAAGACAACATAAGGAGACCAAAAAGATTCAAATTTGAAAGGAAGAAGTCAAACTTTCATTATTTGCAGATGATATGATAGTGTACATAATTGACCCTGAAAACTCTACCAAAGGACTCCTATAGCTGATAATGCCTTCAGTGATGCAGCAGGATACAAGATCAACTCAAAAAAAAAATCAGTAGCTCTTCTATACACAAAGAATAAAAAAGCTGAGAGGAAAATCAGATAAACATGACCTTTTACAATAGCCACAAATAGCCCAAAAATAATCTTGGTGTAACACCAACCACAGAAGTCAAAGACTAGTTTGACAAAAACTTTAAGTCTTTGAAGAAAGAAATTGAAGAGGATACAAAAAAATAAATAAATAAAGATCTCCCATGCTCTTGGATTGGTAGGATCAACATAGAGAATCCTCCTTTTTCATGTCCCTCTAATCAGTTCTGATAAATGTGTGATATCATTGGTATTGGTGGAGCATGCTGGGAGGATTTGCTGAAGAAGGCAGAGTCAGGAGGATCATGAGATTGAGGCCAGCCTGGGTTACACAAGGGTGTGATACCATCTTTTTGTCACATTCACTCATTTCCTTTTAGAAATGCTTACTCCTTACTCAGTATTGACTTTAGCATGTCCATTGACAGCAGGGATGGAAGGACATACCTAAACACTTGATAAATTTTTTATGCTTAGCATAAATTTTTTTTGTAAATAAAAATATTTTGTTATTGTGGTTTATATTTTATTTTAACCAGACCTGCTTTTTCCTTCCTGAGGGTGGGGGGTGGGCAGGTGGCATGGTGCACATATATAGGTCAGAAGAAACTTGTGGTAGTTGGCCTTCTACTTCCAGGGTACTGAACCAAGGTGAACAGGCATAATACAGGTACTTTTTTCTGCTGAGCTATCTTATCAGCCCCCGTCAAGATTTTGTTTTTCAGAGACAGGGTTTCTGTGTTTTAACAGCCCTGACTGTTCTGAAATTAGCTCTACAAGACTGGGCTGGCCTCGAACGTACAGAGATCCACTTGCCTCTGCCTATTGAGTTCCAGAATTAAAAGTGTGTGCCATCATTATCCCCTGCCAGGATTTTGATAGAAGTGTATATCATTGTGACCTGTCTTATTGAACTGACTTTGGAGATCCAATGTGTTTAAAAACCAAAATACCCTTCCTTGGGTATATGTCTTTAAGGGTTCTGTAAATTGGCTGAGTCAGCAGCAGGAACTGTTCTCTATCACTAATACTAGGGTTTGGTTAGAGCTTTGGAATAGTTGTCATCATTATGCTATGAGACAGAAACAAATGGGAGGAGACTCTGGCTCTTCCTGACTCTTCATCTCTTCTCATCCATCCTTAACACAGGGATCTGCTGAGATGCACAGCCCATAAAGATCATGTCATTCAGTGCCAACATTAGGTTTAGCTGTCTGTCCAATGGACCTGTGTGAATGTCTCCTAGCAATATTATTGCTTATCAACACTCAATAGTGGTTATACTTTAGCTTTTCACTGACATAATATCTTTTTATTTTATTTATTAATCCATTGCTTTTTAAAAAAGTGAATCTCTATGCATATCCCTGGCTGTTCTCTCACTCATTATGTAGACCAGACTTGTCTTGAACTCAGAGATCCATTTACTTCTGCCTTCTAAGTGCTATGTTTAAGGGTGTGTGTCATACCTGAACCCAATATAATTTTTATATGAAATATTTTCTTTCATTTTTATTATTTTTGTGTGTGTACCAATGAATTTAACTGGAATGACTTACAGAATCATGAGTGAGTGAGAGGCTATTTTGAGGAGTGTGAGCACCACTGACATAGACTTCTTGCCTTCTCACAGCAACTATTTCTTTTTGATTTTTTCTTATACTTGCTCATTTTTTACAGAGGGACATATATCCCATGGAGCACATGTAAAGGTCAGAGGACAACATGTGGCAGTCAGTTCTCTCACTTCACCTTATAGATCCCAGGGATAGTACTGGTGTTGATTGGGCCATTTTGCTTTCCCACCCCAGGAGCTAGCTGTGTGCTAGTCCTCAGAGAAGCGCAGGACTGTGAGCTTCCTGCAGGAATGTTGACAACCAAATCACTCACAGTGTTTGCAAAGGTAGTCCTAGCTGCAGGGAATACCAGAATGTAGAAGACAGCATTGCACCTCTCCCCCCACACCTTCTGGCTCTTATGTTCTTTCTGCCCTCACTTTTATATTTTCTAAGTCTTGGAAAAGTTGATATAGGTGCCTCACTTAATTCTGTACTTCCATTTGTTTTGAAGCTCAATGAATCAAAACCAGGGCCTGCTGTACTCTAGGTAGTCATTCTACCACAGAACTGCATCTGAAGCTAAGATAGTGAATTATTTTATTATTTTTAAGATTACAATTTTTATTTTAAGTTTTAAAATAATAAAGATTCGGTTTTACTCTTAATATTAACTTTAATGTACTATCTTAAATCCTTAATTATAAATTTGAGTTAAATATTATATTTTTTAAACATTAATTACTATAGCTTATATTATATTTGTGTGTGTGTGTTTGTGTGTGTGCATGTGTGAGTATATGTCTGCACATGAGTGCTGATTATCATGAAGGCCAGAGGGAGTAACAGCTGGTAGCTGCAGTTACAGGTGGGTGTGAGCTCTTGGATTGGTATGATCAACATAGTAAAAATGGCAATTCTACCAAAAGCAATCTATAGATTCAGTGCAATCCCCATCAAAATCCCAACAAAATTCTTCACAGACCTTGAGAGAACAATAATCAACTTTATGTAGAAAAACAAAAACCCAGGAAAGCCAAAACAATCCTATACAATAAAAGTACTTCCAGAGGCATTACCATCCCTGACTTCAAACTCTATTACATAGCTACAGTAATGAAAATAGCTTGGTATTGGCATAAAAACAAATGTTAACCAATGGAATCAAATCAAAGACCCAGATATTAATCTACAAACTTATGAATACCCAATTTGAAGCTAAAATTATACGATTGGAGAAAGAAATAATCTTTAACAAATGGTGCTGGCATAACTGGATTTCAACCTGTAGAAGAATGAAAATAGATCCATATCTATCACCATGTACAAAATTCATAAGTTAGCCAAGAAAAACAAGAAAAAAGCTTTAAAACAGGTAATGGAAACAGTTCAAGACTTGAAAAATGAAATGTAGGCAATGAAGAAAGCACAAACCGAGATATGGCAGAATATGGAAAATCTGGGTAAACGAACAGGAACTAAAGAGACAAATCTAAACAACAGACTAAAAGAGGTAGAAGAAAGAATTTCAGACACTAAATATACTATAGAGAAAACAAACTCATTGATCAAAGAAAACAACAAATCTAACAAATTTTCAATACAAAACATCCAGGAAATCTGGAACACCATGAAAAGATCAAACCTAAGAATAATATGGTAGTAGGAGGAGAGGAATTACAGCTCAAAGGCCTAGGAAATATATTCAACAAATTTATAGAAGAAAACTTTCCCAACCTAAAGTAGTATATTCCTGTGAAGTACAAGAAGCATACAGAACACCAAATAAACTGAATTAAAAACAAAAAAAAACAAGAAATTATCCCTCGCCACATAATAATCAAAACACAAAACATACAAAATAAAGAAATAATATTAAGAGCTGCAAAGGAAAAAGGACAAATAGCATTGGGCAACTCTTGGGTATACTCCCAAGGGTGGAATGGCTGGATCCTAACATAAGTTGACTTCCAGTTTTCTGAGAAATCACCACATTGATTTGCAAAGTGTTTGCACAAGTTTGCATTCCCATCAGCAATGGGTGAGTGTTCACCTTACTTCACATCCTCTCCTGCATAGGCTATCATTGGAGCTTTAGATTTTAGTCATTCTGGCAAATGAAAGATGGTTTCTCAAAGTTGTTTTGATTTGCATTTCCCCAATTGCTAAGGAAGTTTAACATGACCTTAAGTATCTTTTGGCCATTTGCACTGGTTTTATGTTGAGAATTCTCTGTTCAGTTCAGTACCCACTTTTTAATTGGGTTACTCAGAATTTAATATCTAGTTTCTTGAGTTTTTTTAATATATTTTGTAGTTCAGGCCTTTTTCTGATATGGGGTTGGTGAAAGCATTCTCCCATTCATTAGGTTGCCTTTTGTCTCAATGATAGTGTTTTTTGCTTTACAGAAGCTTCTCAGTTTCAGGAGGTTCCATTTTTTCATTGATGCTCTTATTGTCTGTGCTACTGGGGTTATATGTAGGAAGTGATCTCCTGTGCCCATGTGTTGCAGTCTTCCTCCCACTTCCTCTTCAGGTTAGTGTGGTCAGATATTTATTGAGGTCTTTAATCCATTTGGTCTTGAGTTTTGTGCCAAATGTAGCACGAATAAGAAAAATCTAGAGACATATATTGGACTTTATTCTGAAGATCAGAAAAGTAAAGAAGCCAAGCCACTAGAGAGCTCTTAACTCTAAGAAATACTCAGACTAAAGGAGAGTGAGTTCTTGTCTTGGTCCAGTTTATATTCTTCCCCAGGTCTGGGAATAAAGGTGTGAGCCACTACCAACTGGATCTGTTTCTGCATTTATTTTGTGTAGCCTAGGGTAGTCTTGAACTCACAGAGATCCATCTGCCTCTCTCCCAAATCCTGGGATTAAAGGTGTGTAACAATACTGCCTTACCTCTACTGTATTAGATTTATCATCTGTCTTCAGACAAGCTTTATTTTTAAAGCATGAATAAAATATCACTATAGGTTAATTATTTGTTTTCCCATACAGGTTGTTTGATGGTCCAACACCCCTGTTAACTATCAAAGATCCAGACATGATCAAGAATGTACTTGTGAAGGAATCCTATTCTGTCTTCACAAACCTAAGGGTAAGTAACTTCCTTTTTTAATTGAAAAAATGAAAAATTCATTTTTTTCTGTGTTTATTGATGTGAATGTATGTGTGTCTCTATGACTCAATGCCATAAGTGTATAAGTTCCCGTGGAGGCCAGAAGAGGATTTGAGATCCCCTGGTTCTGGTGTCCCAAGCACTTGTGATTAGCATGACTTGGGTCATGGGAACTGAACCTGGCTCTTCCAAAAGAGCAGCAAGCACCCTGAACCACTGAACCATCACTAAGCTACCCCCTTTAATAATGGAAATCTTTATATTTTACTTTGTTTATTAAGTGATTTTGAGACTCTGTGTAGTTCCACCTCTCCTGAAGCCTATTCTGTAACCAAAGTTTGCCACAACTCAGAGTTCTGCCTGCCTCTACCTGCCTCTGTTTTCCAAGTACTGTGTTTAGAGGCATGTGCCAGTGCTGCCTAGTGAGACTGGGTATGTGGAACCCTTTTTTCCCTTTTGTCTCTTTCAAGACAGGGTTTCTAATGTAGCCCTTAATATCCTGGAATTCACTTTGTAGACCAGACTGTCCTCAAAATCACAGAGATCTGCATTCTTCTGTCTCTTGAGTGCTGGTATAATGGTATACAACACCATGACCTGGCAACTTCTTTAACTGAATGAAATATGTATGTAAATATATATATATATTTGTGTGTGTGCATGCATATATGTATATTAATATATATTATACATTAAATATTAATATATATTATGTATATATACGTATAAACATATATACATATGCACTTACAAATACATACGTACATATATATGTACAATGACCTCCATAATAATATTCAAGCTGGGTATATGTAGTCATTTTGCTAATGAAGAAGTGTAAATGTACTTCATTATTGTACTCAGGTTGTAGATCTACACTGTTGTCATCTAAGTTGTGTCTACATTTTCTGTCTCATGGGTCCTTTCTTATGTCAATACAGTTTGTCACAGATCTAGATTTGTGTGATGACAAACACTGAGTAAAGAGAGCTGCTTCTTTATCTGTAATTCCCTCTTGGTAGTCCATTAGCTCCCATGTACAGCCTGCCTTCCTCTCTTCAACTTGTATATCTATTTCTCTTCTCACTGTATGGTGTGGTCAGGGTCAGGTCTGATGATTATTCATCTGGTCCTTCTGTAAGAATCTGCTAGTGTACAAATTATATCCTATTGAGGTTAGCTATCAAATCTAAAGATTTATATATGTTAATTTAATATGAGATATTATACTTAGCTTATGAGATATTATACTTAGCTCAATGTTCTCTTTCTCTTTTTTAAAACCATGACTATCCCTCTGTTCTATCTGGAGAAATCTATTGGTTCTCTCTATGCCATAGGTCCTTGGGATTGAACTCAGACTGTTGGGCTTAGTAGCAAGCACATTTACCTACTGAGCCATCTCTTAGACCCTCATTCAGTCTTTGATAATTTGTTGATGTTGGATGAAGCTACCCTTCATCAAGGGGTGCCATTTTCATTTCTTCCTATTGTGCTGTTTTAATATAAGGGCAGTTGGAGGACTCCATGTTGTAGAAACTGTAATTATGGAAGACAGAAGGAATTTCCCACCAGGGAAATGGAATTATATTTTCTTTTTTATCATTGCATAATGAATTAAGGAAAGAGACTTCTGCGGCACTATTTCTAAATAAAAAACAACCCACACCAAGCAAACCAGGGTCTAGAGAGATGACTTAGTTGCAGTAAGATCTGAAAGTGAATGAGGAGTTGGTTGTCTACATTCACATCCAGTGGCTCTGACGTACCTGTAAGTCCTACTGCAGGAGCTCCAAGTTACTTCTCTAGCCTCTGAATACACTGCATACACACACACACGCTCTCTCTCTCTCATACACACACACACACATATATATGCATTCATACAGACATATGTATACATTTATAACACACTCATACAGAGAGACATGCATAAAATATTAAAATATAGCTTGAAAACCCAAACACCAAATCCTTTAAGTGTCTCAGGCTAGGTAGATGGTTCAGTGAGTAAAAGACCAGAGTTTGGATCTCAGCATCACATAAAACCTGGACATACCTTTCAGAGCTCTGTTTGGAAATAGGTAGGCCCTAGGGGCAAGATGCCTATCTACTCTAGCCAAGCTAGAATATTCTAAATTCTTTGAGGGACTCTGGCTTTAAAAAATACAGTAGAGAGTTATAGAGGAAGATGCCAAATCTCTGGTCTCCTAATGAGCATGCACACTGCACTCTAATCTACACACATACACACACACACACACCACACACATGCACACCATATCCAAAAACCCTTTTAAATACAGTGCTTGCAAACTTGTCTGATGCAGAGTTAACTTACTATCCTATCTCCAAGCCATTTGCTATCTGCACAGCTCTGGAGAATCTACTAAAAGACTTGTTTCCATTCTTACCTCCACCCTGGAAATAATTTTCCAACCAAAAAGAGATTTATGATTAGAAAGAACCGGGAATATAAGGGTTTGAAATATCAATAGGCAGCTAGCCCAGTGAGCACTTGATTTCTTATAGGATGTCAGTAAATTCTGAGTATTTTTGCATCTAGCATAAGGCTTGATCCATAGCAAATAGTCAATAACTAGCTGTTATATGGCAATATCCACTGAGCACTTCTGCAACTATGGAAAATTCTGGAATTATAGAGAACAAATATCTATATTATTTTTGACTCCAGGATATGGGCCCAGTGGGAATAATGAGTAAAAGTCTAACCATATCTAAGGATGAGGAGTGGAAGAGATTTCAAGCCTTGCTATCTCCCGCCTTCTCCAGTGGAAAAATCAAAGAGGTGACTAAAAGGACTTCTAGATGAAATGTTTGTGTGACTTGAGTTTCCACACCCAACTATCATGGATGCCTTTGTGTTTTGTGCTTAGATGTTCCCCATCATTGAAGAGTATGGAGATATTTTGGTAAAATACTTGAGAAAAGAGGCAGAGAAAGGCAAGCCTCTCAACATGAAAGAGTGAGTTGTGGTATATCTACTGTGGTTCTGGAAGACGAAGGGCTGCAGGGACAGAGGGTCATCCTTCTGTGTGTCTCACTTGTCCAGCTGCTCATTCTTCCCTTTTAGACACTGGATGACAAGGTACATTTGACAAAGAAACATGGGAATGCCCAGCTCACAAGGGTAGAGGTGGGTAGGAGGGAAAGGTGCTTGGTCAATAATGAGGTGAGGCGACTTAGCCTGTCTTGGCCAAGAATATGATTATTTCAGGCTTCTTGCTGCATGTGTTAAATCCCATATCTCTCTCTCCTCAGAGTGTTTGGGGCCTACCGCATGGATGTCATCATGAGCACAGCATTTGGTGTGAGCATCGATTCCCTGAACAACCCAAAGGACCCTTTTGTGGAAAAGACCAGGAAGTTCTTCAAAATAAATTTCTTTGACCCGTTTATCTTTTCACTAAGTATGTATGCTGTTTCTTCTGCCTTTTGCCCCACTGATCTTGTGTGTGGCTATGTTTGTCAGTTCTGTCTTACTCTTCCACAGTCTCCAACACTAACAGCTCTATTAGAATACAATTCACCCTCTTAATGGCACAATCCAACATTTTTAGTGCTTTCAAAGACATGTATCCCATTACTCTTGTTTTATTACTGTTTTCTTTTAGACAGGGTCTCACTATTTTGCTATAGCTTTCATGAATGTTGCTATGTGGACTAGGGTGGTCTTGAACACACAGTGATGCCCTGCATCTGCCTCCAGAGTGCTGGAATTAGATACTTGTGACATCATTCCTATCTTAGTTTTAGAATTCTTTTATTTATCATTTGACAATATAACATAGATATACAATCTATCTTCATTATAATCTCCCCTCACCCTCACCTCCCAATTCCCACAGACAAGACAACACACCTTTCTCTCAATTTATTTCCCATTCTCTTTTTCGTCAGCTTTTGAGTCCAATCAGTGCTGCCTATTAGGATGCTGACAAATATGGTTGGCACGATCTCATGCAGGTGATGAGTTCCAGATTAATCCATGCCCTGTCTTGGATATGGCATTTCACACCACCCCTCTGGTTCCTACTTTATTTCCTTACCCTCCTTCAAGATGTTCCTCAAGCCTGGAGTGGTGGAAGTATTGACACAGATGTTCCATGTAGGACTCATCACTCAACAGTCACATATTCTCAGCACTTTGATCAGTCAGGATGCTGTGTTCTCTGATGATTTACATGGCCAGTTACCAATGTCAAATGCAGAGTACTATGTTCTAGTCATGCTGCACATTTGCACTACCATACTTCGAGCAGGCTTGATCAGAGCAACCACTAATTCACTTTCTCTATATTTACATATTCTGAGTATTTCATATTAATGCGATCATAGACTATGTCATTTCTGTGACAGGCCTCTGTCATTTAGCACACTACAAATTGAAGCAAGGCTCACTGTCTCCTCTGTCTAATAATAAGTAACATTTAATATCTGCTGTGATGGACAGTGAAGTTCCAGTTGCCATGCTTGCACTGAAATTTGCTGCTTTGGCCATTTGCATACAAGATTCTGTTTGAATATTTGTTTTTATGTTTGGGTGTATACATTCATAATCATTGTTGCTGAGTCACAAAGAAATTCCATTTTTAACATATTAAACAACTGAGCATATGTTTTCCACAGTAGGTTCAGCATTTTCTATAGCCTCTAGAAATGTAGGAGAATTCCAGTTTCTCCATGATCCACTCAACACTTGGCTCCAACATTCAATGACTTTGTTCATTGCCACTTAGTGAATGTGCAGTATGCTGGACCTGTGGTTTTAATGAGTTTTTCCCCAGTCCTAACTCTATTAAAAAACCAAGTTGATGTGATAATGCCTATTTTTTTAGGTGATGTTTTTACATCCCTGAATTGCTTTGACATTTTAAGAAGACTCATATTTAAGTTATATTTTTGAGATTTTGCCTGCATAAATGTGTACCACATGCTTGAAGTTCCTGCTGAGGCCATGAAAGGGCTTTGAATCCCCTGTAACTGGAATTACACATGGTTGAGAGCAGCCATGTCAGTTCTGGAAATCAAACCTTGGTTATCTGTATATCACCAGTGCGAAATGAGGAGCCATCTCTCCAGGCCTTGTTGTAACTTTTGTGGATGCTCTGGGTACATTTAGCAGTGGTGTTTCATTTAGGTTTTTAATAATTTCTCTGTCAGTTACATTTCTCTCCATAGCTCATGTGTCCTTTTTCCTACATTCTTCCTTTTCTCAATATCTAATATCATCCTCTTTTGGTCCCCTCCTGAACATTATTTCATATTCACACTTATACCTGTTCAAATATTTACACTTATTCATTATAAGATAGACTCTGGAAGTGAGGGAGATTGTGTGATTTTCCTCTCTTTCTGAGTTTGGGTCACCTTTCTTTGATCTTGGCTAAAGGTGCTGGGTACCAAATTCAGGTCTTGTGCCTGCACAGTGAGTATTTTATTAATGAGTCATCTCTCCTGCACTGGATTTAGTTATTTTTTTCAACTGTCTGAAATTTATTAAATTATAAAAGTTTCCATTTCTGCCCCTCCTCCCAACACTCTCCCACTCCCCCCACTCCCCCTCCTCCTCCCTCTCCATCCCTAAGAGCAGTCAGGGTTTCCTGCCCTGTGGGAAGTTCAAGTTCCTCCCCCCTCCCTCCAGGTCCAGGAAGGTGAGTATTCAAACAGACTGGATCCCAAAAATCCAGTATATGCAGAGGAAACAGGTCCCAGTGTCATTGTCAATGGCTTTTCAGAAAGACTCCGAGCCAGCCACATTCAGAGCAGAAGGAGGAAGAACATGAAAAAGGAAATCAGGACCGCGAGGGTTCCAATCATCCACTGATACAAGGGGACTGATCTAATGAAAGTTCACCAAGGCCAGTTGGACTGGGACTGAACGAGCACGTGATCCAAGCAGATTCTCTGAATGTGGCTGGCCTGGATTTAGTTATTTTAAAATTTTATTATATAATGTGATTTTGATTATTTGAGATTTAAAAAATTTTAGGCTTTAAGCCTCTGCCTTTCTCTGTACTATCTTGGTGTATCTTCATTTCATACTTTTTTTGAGACATTTTCAATTCCCTTTCTGCATGGAGGATATTTTAGAATCTCATGCAAGCTAGGCATGTACTATGTAATGAAACTGTATCTCAAGAAATTTTCCAATCACCTCCTGTAGTTCTTTGACATATTTTTGTTTAATAAGAGTGTATTGATTAATTTGGACATACCTCTGACTTTCCTCAGATCCTTTCTGGTTCTAGCTTAAACAAAACTATATCATGTCAGTTGATAAACAAATGCTATCTGTGCTGTTCTTTCTTTATTAATTATTTATTAGATAACAACAAATTGATTTACTTATTAGTGTGTGTGTGTGTGTGTGTGTGTGTGTGTGTGTATGTGGTTTGTGTGTGTGTGGTTAAACTTTTCTTTGACCTGTCACTTCAAAAATAATAACATGGAGACGTAGTATTAATTGTGAAAACTTGGCTGTAGCTTAGAATTTTTCCAACTATTTTTTATAACTTAAATTAACCTGCTTCTTTTTTCCAGTAATTTTCTCCTTTTTTGTTTATTCTTTTATATTTTTATTAATTTATAAATGTTTCCACTTCCGCCCCTCCTCCCAATACCCTCCCACTCCCCCCACTCCCTCTCCTCCTCCCTCTCCAGCCCTAAGAGCAGTCAGGGTTTCCTGACCTGTGGGAAGTTCAAGTTCCTCCCCCTCCCTCCAGGTCTAGGAAGGTGAGCATCCAAACAGACTAGGATCCCAAAAAGTCAGTATATGCAGAGGAAACAAGTCCCAGTGCCATTATCAATGTCGTCTCAGACAGTCCCTGTGCCAGCCACATTCAGAGAATCCTGTTTGATCACGTGCTTGTTCAGTCCCAGTCCAGCTGGCCTTGGTGAGCTCTCATTCTATCAGTCCCCTTGTATCAGTGGGTGAAAGCACTCCTCACGGTCCTGCCTTCCTTGTTCATGTTCTCCTTCCTTCTGCTCCTCATTTGGACCTTGGGGGCTCAATCCAGTACTCCAATGTGGGTCTCTGTCTCAATCTCCATCCATCGTCGAATGAAGGTTCCCTCTGATCCTGCCTTCCTTGCTCACGTTCTCCCTCCTTCTGCTTCTCATTTGGACCTAGGGATTTAAGTCCAGTGCTCCAATGTGGGTCTCCGTCTCTATTTCCATCCATCGCCAGATGAAGTTTCTATGGTGATATGCAAAATATTCATCAGTATGGTTATAGGCCAAGGCCAGTTCAGGCACCCTCTCCTCTTCTGTCCAGAGAACAATCTGGGGATCTCTCCTTGGACCTGGGAACCCCTCTAGAATCAAGTCTCTTGTAAACCCTAAAATGGCTCCCTTAGTTGAGATATATACTTCCCTGCTCCCATATTCATACTTCCTCCCCCCCATCCCAAACCCCCAAGCTTTCCCCAATCTTCCCCTACTCCCTTCTCTCTAACCCTTAATCTAAGTTTTGTCTTGTGGCCTCGTTACCTCTATGCAGTATTCCATATCTGACTTCTTCAGTGTTTCCCTGGCATCTCTCTGCCTTACATCTTCTTAGAATTGCTATCTTTCCCAAGAAGCCTTGCCTATTCACTTCTGCCTAACTACTGGACATTCAGTTCTTTATTAAACCAAGCATAATGACATATCTTCACACACTGTAAATAAATATTCCACAATGTCTCTCTCTGTCTCTCTCTGTCTCTGTCTCTGTCTCTGTCTCTCTCTCTCTCTCTCTCTCTGTGTGTGTGTGTGTGTGTGTGTGTGTGTGTGAATGTATGTGACTGCCTTGGTGTTTGTGTGGCATGTAGAGATCAGGGGACAATTTACAGTAGTTGTTTCATTGTTTCTCTCCTTCCACAATGTGGGATTCAGGGATCAAATTCAGGTTGTTTGACTTTTCTGCAGGAGCCTTTAACTATTGAACCATGTCACTGGCCCCTGTCTGTATTTTGGATCCACACAAACTTTAGGAGCAGAGTTTAAACCAAGAGTCAGATTTATTGCTATGACTACTCCAGAGTGCAAAAAGAACATTATGGTAGTGACCCAGTGTGAGAAAGGTCTCAGAGAGAATGGTTGCTTGAGACACTAGTGACTTATTCTTTGGATTGCTTCATGATTTCTCTAATTGAAACTTGCATTTTCACTAAAACTTGTTCTTTATCTTTCCTTTCCAGTACTCTTTCCATTCCTCATCCCAATATATGAGATGTTAAATTTCTCCATGTTTCCAAAGGACACAATAGCATTTTTCCAAAAATTTCTGGGCAGAATGAAAGAAAATCGCCTGGATTCTAAACAGAAGGCAAAAAGTGGTTGTCTCATAAGAGGTACACATTTGATAATCGGTTGGGCTGTGATCATATGAGATAAGTGTTTCCCTTCACCTCTCACTAAAGCTAAATAGAGAAGACTGTTTTATAGAGATAGAAAATGTATTTCTATTTTTGGAGGAAGAATAGATGGAGTTTTGAAAACTTGATTGAGAATAATCAAGAAATTAACCCTTAGCATTAGGATTGAAAACAAGAGTACCCTGCATAAGGATTAACATTTAAAAAAAAGGCATATATGAGATCAACATCATAGCATTTGCACCTTAGATTAGAGAGTAACTTTTCAAACCCCACCTCTAATCGAGAAACTATTGCCTTTTGATGACAACAGGGGGTGAGTGTGTCCTGCTGTACGTTTCCCATACATATCATATATTGACAGCACCAGTTGGACTCATTTGGTAATAAAAAGTCAAGGTCGTGATGTTTGGATGAAGAAACCTTATAAGGATATAATAGGAATTGAATGGAGGAAATGGTGGGGTAGATATGGCCATATTTTATTGTATACATCTATGAAATCCACTAAGAATCGATAAAAATGATTAAAGGGGGAAACACTATTTTCATCTCCTTCCAAAACTTTGATTTCAAAGAATCAAAGTTATTGTTTAAAATTGTATCCTTAGTAATTTATTGTAAGAGTGGCTGATATGTCAGTTGGATTGCTTACTTGTTTAGCCATCAGTGTTTTTCTTCTTTGATGACTCAAGCAACCATAGTCACGTTTGTGAATTTAAGGGAGGCAAATTTCCGGAAAGGAAGTTAAGCTTCTGCACTTCTGATCCAACTCTGACTTCTGATTTCACCATTGACTTTCTATTTTTGCAACTTCTCTTTCTACTTCCAGCACCGAGTGGATTTTCTTCAGCTGATGATTAACACACAAAATAATTCCAAAGACAAAGTGTCTCATAAAGGTAACCAAGGACATCCCATTCTATGGACAAGAAAGCTCTCACAGAGTGGTCACATCACTCATAAAGTGTGTGGAAAGGTTTTTTTTATCAGAATACCACTGACCAGGTTACTGAAAGAAGGACATGGCGATTATCAAAGTGGAATTGTCTAGAAGAACATTGGCACAAGTTCATTCCAAACATGAAGGGTAGTCATGTTGGAAGTCTTCATTGGTCTCTCTGTGTTACTTAGGTCTGCACAGGTACTGTTTTTGTCTTCCCCAGAGAGACAAAGTATAAACTCACTAGGAACTCTGCCTAGATACCTGAGTCTACATCAAGTCACGATGTACCCAAATAGTGCCGATGATGTCTGGGAGTACCTGGTGTACAAGTACTCTATCCTAATCTATAGTGAAAATTTACTTTTTGTGTGTGTTAAATAAGTGACATCTGGGGAAATCTTCTTTGTACATACATACTATTTCTCTTCATTATTTTATGCACTTTAATCCAAATTAATAAATTTTATCTTTTCAGATGTCATATGTATGTGCGTGAAAGTGTATCTGCCCATTTGCACACCACTAGGTGTGTCAATGGGTGTAAGACGAAGGCAACAAGTATTGTGCTCAATCACTCTCTGCCTTATTTACTCCAGACAGGGTTTCTTATTAAACCTGGAGCTAGTCTGGCAGTCAGCAGGTCCCAGTGATCCATGGATTTGAGGTTACAGGTTGCATGGGTTACCACAGTTGACTTTTTACATGGAAACTGAGGATGCAAACTCAGGTTCTCATGCTTATTACTATCATGGTTGTAAAATAATAGCATCCCAATGCCAGGTTTAATTCTACATGTGTGCATCAGTAGCTAATACAAAGGGAATCTTCTCTTGTTACATACCTTCTTATTTCTAGTGCAGACAATCACTTACATATAGCAATATGATCTTCAAAGAACACATATTTGTTTTTTAAAGTCAGCATGTGTTTTGTGTTTAAATTTTCTCCAGTCTGTCTGCTTGAGTCCTTTCAAGTGTTCAGCTAACTACAAATTCTTCTATATCTCCTTCCCTTTTGAGACCAAGTTTTGTGTAGCCTAGACTTATATCACAGTCATGGTGTACCTGAGAATGACCTTTTCACTTCTAGGCTACCATGCCTAGTTTATCCAGTGCTAGAGATGGAGCACATGGCTTCATACATGCTGGGCTAGCTCTCCACCTACTCATCAACTGTCATGTTTCATTTTTGATAGGTAAAAAAGATGTTAATTTACAACATACCCACTTATTGTGGCTTCTAGTCCAGTTTTAATTTAGTATCAAGTACTTAAACTAATTGGTAGAAAGAATTTACCAAGAAACGAATCATAGCACTCACAGCAAAAGGATTGCAACTCCTGTATCTCAAGATCTGTGGGCTCCAATTCATCTTCTGCACTCCATGGGCACTTGTACACATCTATGTGTACATACACATAAAAAGCTTAAGCTTTAAGGGAGCACTGGAATTCAGTTCCCATTACATATGCCTGAAAGTTCATAACCTTGTAAAATCCGTCTCCAGGGGATCAGATGTCCTCTTCTGGCCTCCATGAGCACGTCTCCACACATAGCACTCCTACAAACACAAATACACATAAATAAAAAAATAAAAATAAATCTTAAAAGTTGAATAAATTACATCTCTTTATCTTACCTAATGAGGATGAGGAACAGATTATAACCCATGGGACATCCTGGCTGTAGCAATCCTCCCCTTCTCTGGCTGTGTCACATGGATGTCAGATAGATAACAGTCCCAGGGTGACTGAATGGCTTCTCTATATTTATCTATAGGGAAACAGGAGCCTGAATAGATTTTCTTCTCATCTCTTCTGTGTTGATCCACCCTGACCTGACTTTCCTGAAATATTTTCTTACTTTCAGCTCTGTCTGACATGGAGATTGTAGCCCATTCAATTGTCTTCATTTTGGGGGGCTATGACACCACCAGCAGCACACTTGCCTTCGCCATGCATTCACTGGCCACTCACCCTGATATCCAGAAGAAACTGCAAGAAGAGATCGATATGGCTCTTCCCAATAAGGTGAATGGATGATACTTGGAGTAGAAGGAAAAAGAGACAACTTCTCATGTACAATGGTGTGTGTGTGTGTGTGTGTGTGTGTGTGTGTGTGTAAAAGAGAGAGCTAGAGAGAGTGCATGTGGTGTCTTTGCATGTGTGTATGTTTGTGCATGCATGTGTGTGTGTGTGTGTGTGCGTGTTCACATGTTTGTAAGTATATATACAATTTGTATTATTCTTAATCACTCTCCACTATGTTTTAATCAGTCTTTCTCAGTGAACATGGAGATTTTCAATTTGGCTACGCTATCTTGTCAAAACACTTTCTCTGCCCTGCCCCACTGCACTGGGATTATAGCTGTGTGTCACTGTGTCTGGCTTTATGAATGGTATGCATCTAACCTAAGGTTCTCAGGCTTGTACAGTAGACACTTCAATAATTGAGACATCTTCCCAGCCCAAATTGTTAGTTATTCTAATCACTGTGTAAGAGACTGGACTGATGTCTCTATGACAGCTCTTCTGGAGGACTCATTCAGGTTTGACTCCCAGCACCCAGATGGCAGCTCTCAACAGTCTGTAATGCCAGTCATAGGCATCTGACACCCACTTTTGACTTCTGTGTGCAGTACACTCATACGGTTTATGTACACATATGTATACAAAACACCTCCACACAAAAAATAGAACAATTAAAAATCACTTTAAAATGGATTGTGAGTGCCTAGGCGTTTTTAAATGCTGCGCTCAGCTTTGTAACTACTGAAGAGTGCAAAGGTACAATGCAGACCTATGGAATGTTAATGTAAAATCCCAGAACAAACCCTTTTCTTTCTTCCCAGGAACCTCCAAACTATGATAAAGTGATGGAGATGGAGTACCTCGACATCGTGCTGAATGAAACCCTCAGAGTATACCCAATTGGTATTAGACTGGACAGAGTCTGTAAACAAGATGTGGAAATTGATGGTGTACTTTTTCGCAAAGGGTCTGTAGCGGTTATACCAGTTTATGCTCTTCACCACGACCCACAGTACTGGCCAGAGCCGGCAGAATTCCGCCCTGAAAGGTACCAGAATCTCAGGAATGGGAACCCATCTGAGCTATGATGGCCTGTATATGCTACGGTGTCTGTTATGGGAAGATGACTTAAATGTGATTTTGCACCCATTTGCATTTTTGCAGAGAAAAGGAAAAAAAAGAGGAGAGATAAAGAGAGACAGGGAAAATGTGACAATTTAAATACAGCGTGGTTTGTTTCCTCTTTCCTCAAGTAGAAAATAACCGACACATTTGTGAGACAGGAACCCATTTTCAATCAGTCTGACTGACATGTGCTTTTCAGGCATGAACCCAGCTTTATGCTGAATGAACTTTCAGATTTAAAGATGTATTATGTTTTCTCTCCTTTTTTCGTCATGGGCAATTACATGCAAATATTGTGTATTTTGGATATTGCTGTCTGATATTACTCTGTCTTTTCTCCCTCCCAAACTTGCTGAATCCCTTCTTGTCCCCATCAAGGTTTCCTCCTGTTTTCATGAGTTCTTTTTTTCTTGTGACTCATGAGTTTAATTAGGGTTGCTTGCATAAGTGTAGGTCTAGAAGTTATTTACTGGAGCATGGAAAAATCACCAAGGCTAAACCATTGAAGGGAAAATTCCCTTCCCCTGGCAATTATTCATTGTCCAAAATTGCTTACTGAGGTGAAATTTCTTGAATTCCCTCCTCCATTTATGTTGAACTGTATCAACATGATCTAACCTTGTGTAGGCAACCACAGTTGCTGTGAGTTCATGAGTACAATGGCTGTGTCAGGTGCAGAAGATAGTGTTTCACAGCACCCCTCTCATTCCCTGGCTCTTACCTTATTTTGATCCCTCTTAATGAGAAGTTCTCTGAGCCTTTGAGGGAATGATACAGATGTCACATTAAGTGCTGAGCACTCCACCATCACGCATTCTCAGCACTTTGGCCAGTTATGAGTCTCTGTGTTAATTGTCTCCCACTGCAATCAGAAGCTCCACAGACCAAAACTAATAGCAGCACAAATTCTTGTGTATAAACATAAATGTTTACAAGACTGTTTGATATCATGTCCACTTAGCAAAACAATAGTACATTCTCCCATAGAACCTATTACCACTCTACCCAGCAGATTTTGAACAGATTTATATAGTATCAGGCATTAATTCCCTCCCCCCTTATAAATTGTCACTCCAATCCAACGAGGCAGTGGTTGATTACCTATAACCCATAAAAATATTATTACACTAGTGGGCACATAGGATGCCTTTTCTCTCTGACAGCATTTGTTTGATCTACCATATGGAAAGTCTATGGGACAAGGGGGTTGGAAAGGACATTTAGTGTACAATTCTCATCAGTATGTTACTGGTTAGATGCCTAAAGGCAAATTCTTGTATGTAGCTCTTACACTTCTGTCATTTGCTAATGTGTCATTACTGTGTGTCTCCAGGTTCAGCAAGGAAAACAAGGGCAACATCAATCCTTATGTATATATGCCCTTTGGTAATGGACCCAGGAACTGCATTGGCATGAGGTTTGCTCTCACGAACATGAAACTTGCTCTCACTAAAGTCCTGCAGAACTTCTCCTTCCAGCCTTGTAAGGAAACACAGGTGAGGAATAAAAATTATCTCAAAAATAATGTTGTACAGGAGGCATCTTTTCAACTGAAGGTTTTGTGTAGAAAAATGAATATGGTGTTTTGAGTTTTACTTATTTGTTTTATGGCCAAATGTGTTATTTGTACACAAGGACCTTTGGTTCTATGTCAATATAGAGTACAACTGTAGCATTCTGATGAGTTAGCAGGTCGGTATGAAAAAATTATATGTTTCTGTTTAAAGTTCCAGTAATGTTAATTTAAAGTAGGGTATATCATGTGGTAGCCAGATGTGCAGTGATCATGACTTCATGTCTGTTAGTTGGTGCTCTCTTCTTCAAGAGCTCAAAGAAGCCCTCTTCTGACAGTCTTGTCATTGCCTGGCTTCATTAGAATCACCAAGGAGCTTTACAAATCACTTATGGGGTTTGAGATGTTTTTCAATTGGTGTAAAAGAAAGGAGCAGGCTACGTTCCTGCCTGGATACCAGCTAGCTTACCCCTGAAATAATTACATGGAAACTGTATTCTTTTAAACACTGCCTGGCCCATTACCTCCAGGCTCTTACTGGCTATCTCTCACATATTGATTCAACCCATTTCTAATAATCTGCATAGCACCACGAGGTCGTGGCTTCATGGCAGACAGCTCTCTGCCTTTGCCTTCTTTCTCCCAGCATTCTGTTCTGTCTACTCTGCCTATCTAAGCTGCTGTCCTATCAAAGAACTAGGCAGTTTCTTTATTAACCAATGAAAGCAACAGATAGATAGAAGACTCTCCTATATCATTTCCCCTTTTTATGTTTAAACAGCAAAGAAAGGCTTTCACTTTAACATAGTAAAATTACATATAGCAAAACAGATATTAAACAAGAATTACAGTTACAATATTTATATCACTTTATCTTTTATCATAACTAAGGAAAACTATAACTATCTATCCATTCTTTACCTCTAACAAAGACTCCAGAAGGATATAATATTACCTAATAAACAAGAAGTAAGCAACTTCCAAAACTCTAGAAATGACAGAGACATCTCACTGCCTGGACAGTCACACAAAGTTCCTCTGTACTGTTGGGGCATCAATCTTCAGCCTTCAGGCCCATAGTCATAAATCAGGAACCCCAAAAGACCATCTCACCTTTAGGCCAGTTCAGCAGTCCTCTCTCTGCAGGTTCTTTGTGTCCAGTTTATGCAAAAGTCCAGGCAAGAGAAGTTTCTTGCCCAAATGGCTATCAAACTCCATCAAGAGCCTCTTCAATGCCCATCTTCCTCTTGAAGTAGCTGGTGCTGCCAGGAGCAGATGTGTCTCATTGTTATGAAAAGCCCTAAATTATTAAAACATTAAATGCCATATTTTGTAGTCTTTGCAAGATATGAAGAATGCCTATCTGAAATATATCTACGCACATCTAGAAAATCTTACAAACATGACTACAAGCTTGAATATTATTGAGATTATCTATTAACAACCTATATTTCCTAATTATACATTACATTTTTAAAATGAACTACACAATCACAATACCTTAATCAAGATCAGAAATACATATACATATAACAAAATTGACCCTAAAATCCATACCAATGCAAATTATTCACATCTATATCATATTCCCCTTTAAATGTAAAAGAACATTTATAAACAATATTTGGGAATATGGGTGCAGTTTTTTCTCTCCAAACTGCCTCGTGCTGTATGGGGGTGCTGTTAATCAGGTCTTTTTTGGTGTAAACTGTGTGCCAGGTTCATCTCAGTCGGCAGTTAAGTGAAGTAATTTTTCAAGTGTGTTCACAGCAACCTTTCAGGAGGGCATGGTCTATCATACCATATTGGGATAGAAGCAATCTACAAGGTATCATCCTCTGTGAAAACAAAAGAAGAACCTCCTTTCCAAAACATCATATTCTTAGACCCAAATCCTGAAGTCAAGATACCTTTAGAACATATATGTTGGATCAGCTTAGCAGCCCACACAATGAAATGTCTCTGTGTATTTAGCCTTTCACAGTCAAAAATTTTAAAGAAAACACAATGTACATAATCCAGACTCTCTGTGAATTTTCCATATTTACGCGGCTTCTTTTTACTCTATCACTTTACTTTATTCTGTCTCTTTAAAGACGTTGCCCTTCTTAAAAAGACATTAACTTTATTCTCTATATTCTTTTCTTCTCTCTCCCAAGCCTACATACATTCAACCACCATTGTGACCCATTTAGAGGTCTTTTAGGTCTGAATATATCCTATTGTGAATCTGTAATTTTTTACTATCTAGGAACATTTTGTTTTGCAGTTTTAAATCACTAAGCACTTAAGAATCTAAGCTGTGACATTCCTAGGTCAAAAACAGGTACTGCCGGTTTGCCCCGCCCAGTCCAATGTGGCAGAGCCACTCATGCCTCTGAGCTTTGCACACTGCACCGCTAGCATGACAGAGTTGCTTGTGCCTCTGAGCTGCAGCACACAATAACTCCCTTTTAGGCACACAGAGATTGTAGTTGCCATCAAACAAATCATAGCACTTTACTCCAAATGCTTCATTCAAAAGCTCTGTTCCCCTTCCCCCTACAGGAGTCAGATAGAACTCTCAAAGGCAGCACAGCCCAGAAACTAGTATTTCAAAAATGCCACTTTCTAGTAGTCCTTATCCCACTGCCTACTCAGGCAGGAAGAGCTGAGCCGCAGGCATGGTCTCAGTTACTTTGCTCCCAACCCTGAGTGGGCTCAGAAATGCTCCATAGCCCGACTTTGCAAGGGCAGCAGGGCCCAGGAAACCACGTTTTAAAATGGCTGGCACAGCTTTTTTTTTCTGTTGCTATTGCTGAATCAGAAAATCTCTCTACAGCACGTCCTATCAAACAGCAAAAAGCTGTGTTAAACTCACTTTCCCTCTTTTTAAAGCCCTCTCAAATTTTACATGGAGTTCACTACCACACTGGGCACCAATCTCTTAAAGGAACAGCTGGCCACTTCCCGCCTCCCACCCAGCTAGCTTTACCCAAAATAATTAGAGGGAAGCTGTATTCTTTTAAACACTGCCTGACCCATTACCTCCAGCCTCTTACTGGCTAACTCTCACATACTGATTCAACCCATTTCTGATAATCTGCATAGCACCATGAGGTCGTGGCTTACCGGGAAAGCTTCAGCATGTCTGACCTGGCAGCTTCATGGCAGACGGCTCTCTGCCTTTGCCTTCTTTCTCCCAGCATTCTGTTCTGTCTAGTCCGCCTATCTAAGCTGCTGTCCTATCAAAGAACTAGGCAGTTTCTTTATTAACCAATGAAAGCAACAAATAGATAGAAGACTCTCCAACATCAAGTTGGTAAACTTCTTCTCTAGCATTCATAAAGACCTGGTTCCCATGCACAGTGCTGTGGTGGTGCAATTCTGTAATCCTTGCACTCAGGAGGTGGAATCAAGATCAGAAGTCCAAGTGTTTCTTGGCCACATAGTGACTTTGAAGCAAGTGTGGGGTACATGATACCTGGTCTCAAAACAAAAACAGAAACTCATGATGCCTAGCTATTTCTGAAATCTTAAAATAATTCACCCACAGTTTGGCTTTAAGAGCTCATTGCTGACTCACCATGTGAGACCAAGTTAAGAATCATTGTTTTAAAACACAATTGCTAGGGCTCAAGGGATAGCTCAGCAGTTTTGAACACTTGGTCCTCTTGAATAGGACCTGGGTTCAGTTTCCAGCCCCTACATGGTACCTCACAACCATTTTCAACTACAGTTACAAAGGCTAGGATGTGCTTCTTTCACTTCTGTTGAGATTGCTCGCATGTGCTATACATGCATATGTGCAGACAAAACATTCCTATATATAAAATGAAAATAAATGAATCTTTCAAAAGTTGCTGGTTATGATGAACTCCAACTTTAATGGGCATCTTAACAGTTCTGCCTCACTTCTCTAGAGTTTTGACTCCAGAAAACAGGTAGTTGCTATGTTTACAGAGATCATTTATCTTTCCCACTTTTTATTCTGCTTTCCTTCCTTAAGTTCTTATTCAATCCTCAAATCAATGTTCTTCTTCTTGAGTTTCTTTTCTCCTTTATTTTATGCTCTACTTTTGGATCCTTCAGGCATTTTTCACAACTTATGCTAATGCTTTATCAATAAAGCCACCAGTTTGGTTCTGTTTGTTCTCTCTTATTGAAGAATATCATTTTTCTTTTTTCATCATCTTATCTTATATTTTCCACAAACTGTAACTGGTCCTTTGAGGAGACTTTGTGCCTTGAAAATCTCCAGTAAATGGTTTAAAGTATGATTAATAATTATAATATTCTTTCAAGAAAACATTAAGACATTTAAATTTTAAATACATACACACACACACACACACACACACACACACACACACACATATATATATATATATATATATATATATATATTGGGTTTTCAAGACAGGGTTGCACTGCAACTTTGGAGCCTTTCCTGGAACTAACTCTTGTAGACCAGACTGGCTTGGAACTCACAGAGATCCGCCTAACTCTGCCTCACGATTGCTGGGATTAAATGTGAGTGCCACCACCACCCTGCTTAGTATGTATATTTTTTATAAACATCTCTTTTGAATGCTTCTATGCAAAGAACATATATATTACAAAAAATTTTAATCGAATATGATAGAGCATTTGGAAAAAGAGGGTGTATTTTTCTGAAAAAACATTGTTTCTCTTCATTCAATGGGATAGCTAAAATTTATAGGACTTGTGTATCAGGATTTATCTTCTTTTGTCAATTAATTTTATTCATTGATAATTGGAGGGATGAGAATGTTTGTTTTGTGATTTGTGGCTTATGGCAGTTGTGTCATTTTACTTCCATACAACTTCACATCTTTTACGACATTTTCTCTAAAGCATTTAAATCATAAGCATGTACAGGGATTTAGACAGACAAAGCATGGTACTAGATTTGAGAGTCCATGACAAACCTGACACAGGAAGATGCAGTGGGAAGTTCCAGTCATCTTAAATTTGACACTTCTCTATATCCAGGACAACTTTGCTCCCCTTTCTTCTGTGATCAGAAGATAACTCTGTTGGTGGTATTCCCCCACCATCTCTGAATAGCATGAAACTAAAACAGTATGGAAGACACTTGGGAACTCAGAATTCTTCATTAAACTCATCCTTGCAGGACAAAAGTAAACTCTATAAAAGCAAGCAAATATCTGTCCTTCTAATGCCTTGTCTAGATGGGTTCAACTGCAGTGGTGACATATGATCTAGGAACTGAGAACTGTCCACAGACTTGAAGTGTATCTTCTCAGAGTTAGTTTGCAAGTATAAACAAATCAAAAATAGCATTTCTGGTCTTAAATAATATGACACAATAACTAGGAATTAGTTTCAAAATATTAAACTTGTATTTTTTACTCTAAATCAACACAGGACAGAAATAACATGAACCAACATGACTTCATCTCAGGTCCCATATATAGTAGATTCTCAATCAACATTTTACCCAATGCATGGTTTGGATGTATAATTTCACCATCTAGTTGAGATATCTTGGAAAAAGAAAGTCAAAATATTTGATGCTAAATGCAACTTTTTTGTTTCTTCAAAGAATTTCCATCCTGATTTTTTAAGCTTTTCTTCTGGGGTTGCTATTAGTATATTCATTGAATTCTTCTTTTCTTACATTATTGCAGATCCCTATGAAATTAAGCGGATCAATACTGCTTCAACCAGAAGAACCCATTGTTCTAAAGGTTGTACCAAGGGATGCAATCATAACGGGAGTGTGATTTTCCATCAAGTGGCTCTGCTGTGTTATTCAAGAAGCTGAAACTTAAGAGCATTAGAAAATTTAGTTTACTTCATGAATAAAACCCAAGAGAAGATAATGTTTAACTGAGTGGCCTTGAGCGAGCATTATGAGGTTTCATACATCCATTGAGCTTTCTCAGTGTCAATACTCAGTGTAATGAAAAATGACTAAGTAATGACAAATGAGTATAATGACAAATGAGAAATTTATTTCCTCTGGTCATCATGGTACCACATCAATCCACATCTGGTTGGCTCCATCTATTCTTTTAGCCCTTTACCTTGCTTCTGCAATTTGATCAATAATACATTTTTTTGTGAAAATGTGAAGCACTGTGACTTCTCTTATTATAAAATTGATACCATATGTTTTAATTGCAATATTCTACAATAAATGTTACACTTAAAATATAAACATCTCTTTTAATAAATAAAATTATTTGCTTGTTTATTTGCATCCTGGCCAGTTTCTTCTCCATCCTTTCCTCTCATTTCTTTCCCCTACCACCCTGCTTTGTTCCCATTCCCCCATTTACCCCTCCTCCATTTCTGTTTTGGAAAAGTCAGGTCTCCCATGAGAAGTGTGAATAAAATGAAAGATATCAAGTTGCAGTAAGACTAAACACCTCCCATGTATTAGGACTGGGCTGAATGAGGAATAGAGTTCCAAAAGTCAGTAGAAGAATCAGAGACATCCCCTGCTCCTGATGTTAAGAGTTCCACAAGAGGCTCAAACTACACAGCTCTAACATACAGACTGAGTGCCGAGGTCAATCCCATGAAGGCTACCTGGTTGTCAGTTCAGTCTCTGTGTGCTCCTGTGAGGTCAAGTTGGCTGATATTGTGAGTTTTATTGTGGTGTCCTTGACTCCTCTGGCTCCTACAATCCTTTTCCTCCCTCTTCTGTAGGATTCTCTGAATGCCACCTAATGTTTGTTTGTGAGTGCAATGTTTAAATCAGTTGTATATGATGAAATCGCTCTGATGACACTTGGGCTAGGAACCAGGCTGGTCATAAGTGATGACCAGTTCAGGCTATGCATCTGCTATTGCTTGGAGCCTTTACTATAACCATTTTTGTAGATTTCTGGGAGATTGCCTTGCATCAGACTTTTGCCAGACTCTGAAATGCCCCTACTTGAAAGCGTAAGTCACAAACAATCCCACACCAGTTTAGAATAATGATTAATAGAATGGTTATTTACTCAAAAGGGAAAAAAAAACTTACAGATTACCGTCCCAGACAACAGCCCCTTTGCATGATCAGAAAAGGAGTCTAGGAGCCAGGAGCCGGAAGCAGAGCCAGAAGCCAGAGAGAGAATGGAGGAGAGCCACTGCTTTTTTTTTTTAAATTCAAAGTTTATTAAATTATAAAAGTTTCCATTTCCGGCCCACCTCCCAAAACACACCCACTCTCCCCACTCCCCCTCCTCCTCCGTCTCCATCCCTAAGAGCAGTCAGGGTTTCCTGCCCAGTGGGAAGTTCAAGTTCCTCACCCCTACCTCCAGGTCCAGGAAGGTGAGTATCCAAACAGACTGGATCCCAAAAATCCAGTATGTGCAGAGGAAACAAGTTCCAGTGTCATTGTCAATGGCTTTTCAGAAAGACTCCAGGCCAGCCACATTCAGAGAATCTGGCCACATTCAAAGAATCTGGTTGGATCATGTGCTCGTTCAGTCCCAGTCCAACTGGCATTGGTGAACTCTCATTAGATCAGTGCCCTTGTATCAGTGGGTGATCGCACCCCTCGCGGTCCTGATTTCCTTTTTCATGTTCTTCCTCCTACTGCTTCTCATTTGGACCATGGGGGGCTCAGTCCGGTGTTCCAATGTTGGTCTCCATCTGTATCACCATCCATCCTCGGATGAAGGTTCCCTCTGGTCTTGCCTTCTTTTCTCACATTCCCTTTCCTTCTGCTTCTCGTTTGGACCTAGGGAGTTAAGTCCAGTGTTCCAATGTGGGTCTCTGTCTCTATCTCCATCCATCGCCAGATGAAGGTTCTATGGTGATACACAAAATATTCATCAGTATGGTTATAGGCCAAGGCCGGTTCAGGCACCCTCTCCTCTGTCAAGAGAACGATCTAGGGATCTCTCCTTGAACCTGGGATCCCATTTATAATCAAGTCTCATGTAAACCCTAAAATAACTCCCTTAGTTGAGATATATTCTTCCCTGATCCCATAACCATCCTTCCTCCCTCCCCCCATCCCAGTTCCCCAAGTTTTCCCCATTCCTCCCCTACTCCCTTCTCTCTAACGCTCTTCCCTTACAACAACCCTCCCACCCCGTCATACACCCGAGGCTACCTGGTACTCTTGTCTGTTTCCAATCTCCAGGAGGATAAGTACATGATTTTCTTCAGGTTCACCTTATTTAGCTTCTCTAGGATCTCGAATAATAGGCTTGAAGACCTTTAATTATGACTAGAATCCACTTATGAGTGAATACATACCATATTCCTCTTTTTGGGTCTGGCTTACCTCACTCAGTAAAGCGTTTTCTATGTCCATCCATTTGCCTGCAAAATTCAAGATGTCATTGTTTTTTACCGCTGAGTAAAACTCTAGTGTATATATGTTCCACATATATACTTTTTTAACCATTCTTCTATTGAAGGGCACCTAGGTTGTTTCCAGATTCTGGCTATTACAAATAGTGCTGCTATGAACATAGTTGAACAAATGCTTTTGTGGTATGATAGGGCATCTCTTGGGTATATTCTCAAGAGTGGAATTGCTGGGTCTTGAGGGAGATTGACTCCCAGTTTCCTGAGAAACCGCCACACTGATTTCCACAGTGGCTGCACAAGTTTACATTCCCACCAACAATGGATGAGAGTTCCCCTCTCTCCATATCCTCTCCAGCAAAGGCTATCATTGGTGTTTTTGACTTTAGCTAATCTGACCGGTGTAAAATGGTATCTCATAGTTGTTTTGATTTGCATTTCCCTGATCGCTAAGGATGCTGAGCATGACCTTACGTGTCTTTTGGCCATTCGGAGTTCTTCTGTTGAGAATTCTCTGTTCAGATGAGCACCCCATTTTTAATTGGGTTAATTAGAGTTTTATTGTCTAGTTTCTTGAGTTCTTTGTATATTTTAGAGATCAGGCCTTTATCTGATGAGAGGTTGGTGAAGATCTTCTCCCAGTCAGAAAGTAGCATTTTTGTCTTACTGATGGTGTCCTTTGCTTTACAGAAGCTTCTCAGTTTCAGGAGGTCCCATTTATTCATTGATTCTCTTATTGTCTGTGCTACTGGGGTTCTACCTAGGAAGTGGTCTCCTGTGCCTATGTCTTGTAGACTACTTCCCATTTTCTCTTCTATCTGGTTCAAAGTGGTCAGATTAATGTTGAGGTCTTTAATCCATTTGGACTTGATTTTTGTTCATGGTGATAGATATGGATCTACTTTCATTCTTCTACAGGTTGACATCCAGTTATGCCAGCACCATTTGTAAAAGATGCTTTCCTTCTTCCATTGTATACCTTTAGCTCCATTGTCAAAAATTAGGTGTTCATAGGTTTGTGGGTTAATATCCGGGTCTTCTATTCGATTCCATAGGTCGACTTCTCTATTCTTATGCCAGTACCAAGCTGTTTTCAATACTGTAGCTCTGTAATAGAGTTTGAAGTCAGGGATGGTAATGCCTCCAGAAGTTCTTTTATTGTATAAGATTGTTTTGGCTATCCTGGGTTTTTTGTTTTCACATATAAAATTGATTATTGTTTTCTCAACGTCTGTGAAGAAGTTTGATGGGATTTTGATGGGGATTGCATTGAATCTATAGATTGCTCTTGGTAGAATTGTCATTTTTACTATGTTGATCCTCCCAATCCAAGAGCAAGGGAGATCTTTCCGTTTTCTTGTATCCTCCTCAATGTCTTTCTTCAAGACTTAATGTTCTTGTCAAATAGGTCTTTCACTTCCTTGGTCAGAGTTATCCCAAGATATTTTGTGCTATTTGTGGCTATCGTGAAAGGTGAAGTTTCTCTGATTTTCCTCCCTGCTTCTTTATCCTTTGTGTATAGGAAGGCAAGTGATTTTTTGGAGTTGATCTAGTATTCTGCCACATTACTAAAGGGGTTTAGCAGCTGTAGGAGTTCTTTGGTAGAGTTTTTGGGGTCGCTCATGTATACTATCATATCGTCTGCAAATAACGAGAGGTTAACTTCTTCCTTTCCAATTCGAATCCCCTTGATCCCCTTATGTTGTCGTATTGCTATTGCTAGAACTTCTAGCACTATACTGAAGAGGTATGGGGAGAGTGGACAGCCTTGTCTTGTTCCTGATTTCAATGGAATGGCTTTGAGTTTCTCTCCGTTCAGTTTGATGTTAGCTGTCAGCTTGCTGTAAATAGCTTTTATTATATGTAGGTATGATCCTTGTATCCCCAATCTCTCCAACACCTTTATCATAAAGGGATGCTGGATTTTGTCAAATGCTTTTTCAGCATCTAATGAGATGATCATATTGTTTTTTTCTTTCAGTTTATTTATATGATGGATTGCATTGATGGATTTGCGTATGTTGAACTAGCCCTGCATCTCTGGAATGAAGACTACTTGATCATAATGGATAATTTTTCTAATGTGTTCTTGGAATCGGTTTGCCAGGATTTTGTTGAGAATTTTTGCGTCGATGTTCATGAGTGAGATTGACCTATAATTCTCTTTCTTGGTTGTGTCTTTATGTAGTTTTGGTATCAGGGTAACTGTAGCTTCATAAAAAGAGTTTGGCAATGACTCTTCTGTTTCTATATTGTGAAATACCTTAAGGAGTATAGGTATCAGCTCTTCTTGGAAGTTCTGGTAGAATTCTGCATTGAAACCATCTGGCCCTGGGCTTTCTTTGGTCGGGAGGTTTTTGATAACATCTTCTAATTCTTCGCGACTAACAGATCTATTTAGATTGTTTACCTAGTCTTGATTTAACTTTGGTAAATTGTATTTATCTAAAAACCAATCCATTTCTCGTACATTTTCCAACTTTGTGGCATATAAACTTTCGTAGTAAGATCTAATGATTCTCTGAATTTCCTCTGTGTCTGTTGTTATGTCCCCCTTTTCATTTCTGATCTTAAAAATTTGAGTGTTCTCTCTCTGCCGTTTGATTAGTTTGGCTAGGGGTTTGTCAATCTTGTTGATTTTCTCCAAGAACCAACTTTTTGTTTGGTTGATTTTTTGGATTGTTTTCTGTGTTTCTATTTTGTTGATTTCATTCCTCAGTTTGATTATATCCAATCTTCTACTCCTCCTGGGAGAGTCTGCTTCTTTTTTTCCAGAGCTTTCAGGTGTGCTGTTAAGTCTCCAATATGTGCTTTCTCCATTTTCTTTAATTGGGCACTTAGTGCTATGAACTTTCCTCTTAGCACTGCTTTCCTTGTGTCCCGTAGGTTGTGTATGTTGTGTCTTTATTTTCATTAAATTCAAGGAAGATTTTAACTTCTT